TTAACTTGTGTAGTAATATGTTGAAATCAGATGCAATATAGTTAATGGACATATAGTATCTCTCAATTGATTTTAGTTGACATTAAAAATAATATGAAACTATGTATGCCTCTACAATATCAAAAATGAAAGAGTGTCTATGGAGGATTGCCCTGGTGGCTATGATGTACATCACCCTAGAAGATGTCCCACATAACAGGCTTTTGGAGTCTCCACCTGACTTAGACCTGAAGATGTGAGAAATACAATAGGTATTGTCTTAGAAATAATTGGTATTTCTTTACAAGCAATACTAATAAACACCACATAAACCTGCCTCTTTATTGTATTTTTGTTATGGGTTTTCTTTTGGATAGTGTGTATTTTTAGAGTAGATGTGGATTTACTTAATAATGAAAACTGAATATGTTTGACCTGTTCTCTCTTTAGATTTCTGCATTACTAAACCTTTATGTTTATAATTTTATAAATTGGCCACAAGTCGTGAACCAGTTTGGATTCTTTATTAACTATATTATGCAGTATATTCCTATATCCTTATTCTTGGGAATTTGCTGAATCATTTTTTACTCTTGGATTTACTCCCACATGCTCCACTAACTTTCATTTTACGTTTTATCTGTGACAATTTCATAGGTTCTATTTTTACTTTTATTTTAGAGTCTGCTAGTGAGCATAGAAAGCATCTGGTTTTGTCATTGTTTTCATAACTATGTTTTCTCTACTTATTTTATTCCTTTAACCTTATTTTATGTACTATGGTCTACACACACTGGTTTCCTTCTTTTCACTAATGCCCCATCTTTGACTTTTATGTAGTATGTATTCCATGCTCCTCATTTGAACCTAGACCTGCCTATTTAAGATTGCTTTATCCTATCATGTAGCCCTTTATTTTTTTAGTTTCATGAAAAGCAAACCAATATATATGTACAAATATAAATATTGAAATCCAGGACTTGCATATGAGATGGAAAAAAGTTTTTTATTGATAACTCTGATTTACTTTATTAGGGTTTCTTCAGTTGAATCCATCTTCCTACAAAGAACATAATCGATTCTCTAAGAAACATGAATTTCATTCTCTTTATGTCATGTATGTGGTCATCAGTTTGTTGACATCTACACTGACTTTTGCTTTTGTTGAGAGCAGTGCAGCAATAAACATTCATGTGAAAGTGTCTGTATTGTAGGATCAAGTTGAGTTGTTTCCTAGACATGATGGGTGGTAGGGTACTGGAAGAAGCTGACAGAAGGAAGACTGTTGTCAAGATGTATTGTATTTGAGAAGAACCTCATTTTAAATTTCTTTAAAAGTGAGTTGAAACTATAGTATTTAAGAATACTAGTGAGAGAAGTTTTCTGTTTCTTCTTTTTAAAAATGGATTTTCATTCTAATTGGATTATTTTTGTGTTTTTTTTCTTTCTTCCTACTACTGTTTTGGGTTTCTGTGTTATTTATTTGGTTATTGAGAGATAAAATATTATATTGATATGTATCCTGTGCTTACTGTGAACTCATAATGTACAGCATGTTGACCTCAAATATGTTTTGATTGCCCAGATATTCCCAAAGCAAATAAAATATCAGTATGAAAACGAGACTCTGAAACTCATCTCTTTGTGGTTCACTGAATTATTAGCAATTATGAAGGAGGATGACACCTTGATAGATTTTTTTATAAAATAGGGCTACTTTTACTACAAGTATGATAAAATTAAACCTATATTGTTTCATTCAATTTCCTAGAAAAGTTGAGGAAACCTGTATTCATGCAGAGATGGCAGTAAGGGTAGAAAAAAGTAATGACATCACTCAACTCAAGTTTAATGAAATTATTGAGATTACTTAGAGGAAGATAGCTGTAGAATGAACTCAAAGCCACTCATGTCACTATAAAGATCTATTGTACAAGATAAAGCATCACTGAAGTCTTTGTATACATGCAGGTTTCATCATGGGAATCAGGAGTGTATCAAATATAGAGCCCAATTTGATTGTGAACCCAGAGTCCTTAGAGTTAGGCACACAAAAGAAGAATAAAATAGTACCATGGAAGAGAATAATCTAGATATTTGCTCTTGGCACTAATTGAAGACAGTTTGTTCAGTCAGAGAATACTTTCTCCCAGCAGTTAACTTGGAGAAAAACCTTCTGATTACTGTTTCCTGCCTCTTCTAACATTATCCGTAAAAAATAAAAGATGAACAGGACTACATAAACTTTGATATGGGATATTAGACTTTTTTTTTGGTTTTTCGAGACAGGGTTTCTCTGTATTGTTTTTTGGACCATGTCCTGGAACTCGCTTGGTAGACCAGGCTGGTTTCGAACTAACAGAGATCCTCCTGCCTCTGCCTCCCGAGTGCTGGGATTAAATGCTTGCGCCACCAACGCCCGGCTTGGATATTAGATTTTTTAATCCCATAAATTACTTTTAAATTTTGGTTGAGTTTCACTTGATATCACTTAAAATATACCGATAATAAGTGAAAGTGATAATTATCGCTGAGTACATGCACACACATATAATTACCTATTAATAAGATTACATTAGCTCTCAAAGCAGTTTTTGCGAATTGGATAGCACTGGAAGAAACCATCCTGAGTGAGGTAACCCAGTCGCAAAAAGACAAACATGGTATGTACTCACTCATATATGGATTCTAGATATGGATCAGGATAGTGCCAGTCTGCACTTCCACAGATAGAGAGTCTGGGAAACAGGAAAGAACCTAAAAGATATGCATATATGCATAGTACCCAAGAGAAGAGGATGGAGACAAGATCCTCTGATGGGGAACACGGCGAGGGGTGGGGGGGAGTGGGACCTGGGAAGAATAGAAGGGGTAAAGAGGAAGGGAGTTGGTCATGGGGGAACAGGAAGTTGAGGGGGTGGGGGTAGAATAGGGGAAAGAGGGAATCATAGGATCGAAGACAGATCAGGCACCAGAGTGACCTCGAGTGATCTAAAGGTATAACATCAATTGGCAAGCTAAGCAATAGTGGAGGGACCACCTCGAATGCCCATTCCTGATAATGAACTTGATGTCTATAACCATCCGGGAGCCTTCATCCTGTGACTGATGGAAGCAGAGGCAAACACACAACTGAGCACTGAACTGAACCCAAGGAACCCAGTGACAGAGAGAGAGGAGTGATGAGCAAATTGGCAAAGAATGGGCTGGCAAAACCAGCAGAGACAGCTGATCTGAACAGGGGAGTGCTCTTGGACCCCAGACCGACAGTGGGGAGGCCAGCATGGGACTGATCTGGACCCCCCCAAATGTGAGTGTCAGTGAGAAGGCCTGGGCAACCTATGGGGCCCTGAGCTGTGGATCAGTGTCTATCCCAGGTATACAAACTGTCTTCATGTGCCTATAGCACAAAGAGAGATGCTCTCTCAGCCTGGACTCTTAGGGGAGTGCCTTGACCCTACCAAGAGTAAAATGACAGACTCTAGATATCCCCTATGTGGAAGGATTTGGCAATAGGGTGGGAGGGAGGGGGGGAAGGGGAGTGCGGGAGGAGGGGAGGGAGAGGGAACTGGGATTGACATGTAAAACAAGCTATTTAAAATTAAAATAAAAAATGATAAAAAAAGCAGTTTTTGATAATTAATGCAATAACAATATTTTATATTCTTGATTTTATGGCTCTACTTTCTCTTGACTAAAATCCATCACTCAATGAAAGTTACACACAAAAGGTATATATCCTCTTTTATTAGATAAATTTGTAAGTATTGAAGTGTTCCTGAAGTTATGTATGTTGAACTATGTTCTATAGATGACAGAGGAGGGAAAGATACTGTCGCAATTTCAACCCTACTGATGAAGTATCATGAGCAGTTGATAGTCTCAAACATATAACCACACAGATGTTCCTGACTGAAGTTCATGTTTCACAAAGAGAAGATAAAAAGCATGAACATGGAACAGAGACATGCAGTGAGATGGGAATAAAAGGGCAAATGGACTCAGATAGAATGGAGTGATAGTAAGGAGAAAGCAATATATGCATTTATGCAACCTTAAATTTTCAACTTTAATGAAATGAAAGCATATATGTAAATAAGCAGAGAGAATAAACAGAGTTGACTACAAACATTTCATCAGTAGCAGAGTTAGCATAATTACCAAATAAGGGAATATACAGTTCTGAATTGTTGTCTATAATGATAATAACCATTAGACAGAATGAAAAAATGGATCTGTTTATTTTCTAGTAATTCACAATTTCATATGCATATTTTATTCACTGTAAAGAGGATAGAGAAATTGCTCAGTAGGTTTGATTGCTTTTTCTCTTCCAGAGGACATAATTTCAATTCCAATGACCCACATCAGGTGGATTATAGGAGGCAACAACTCCGGTTCCAGAAGACCCAAGGACTCTAAATGCCATTTGTGGGCATTACTCTCAGGTATACACATCACAGACATACTCATAGAATTCCTTCCTTTAAAATGTTATTTTCATAACACAATATTGCTAAAATATTTTCATTAAAAGAGTACATGTTATTCAACAGTTATAAAACACTGAATGCTGAAGCATTAGAAAAGGGAAAGTAAGGAAAGCAATGAGCCTTGAATAGCAAAATAAATAAAATCTTGAGTAAATATCCATTGTTTTCTCACTGTGTATGTGGATTTGTTTAATGATTTTCATGAATTACAGTTACCCTATTTTGAAATGGATCATAATAACTATTACAGATAAGAAATAAAATTAGAAACTAAAAAATCCTTCTTAATACATTTGGGGAAATATTGCAAAAGTGAAATTTGTTTGCCTTGGTAGGGCAAACTCATAACTAACTGAGTTCAGTCAAATGATTAAATAAACTTTTAATTGTAGAATTTTTAAATGCTATAATTGTAAATGAAAGAGTCATAAAACTCAACAAAACAAAAAGACTCACTAGGAGCTATCATGCTCCTTAGTTCTCTCCTCAACCCAAACTTGATTCATCTATTAATCCCTCTTTCTAACTCTACCTTGGAATTCTGCACACAGACAAACTTAACTTAGAGTTCACAACTTTCCGGAGAGCACCTTTCACATCTTTGTTTCTGAGGCTGTAGATCAAGGGGTTCAACATGGGAATCACTACAGTGTAGAACACTGTAGCCACTTTGTCAGCATCACCACTGTTCTCTGACGTAGAAGAACAATAAATGGAAAGAATTGTTCCATGGAAGACCATGATAGCTGTGAGATGGGAAGCACAGGTAGAGAAAGCTTTTTGCCTCCCCTCTACAGAGCGCATTCTCAGGATGGTGATGAGGATAAACAGGTAGGAGGTGAAGATGATCACAATACTCAAGCTCTCATTGAAGGTGGCTACAACAAACAACAGCACCTTATTAACAGTGACATCAGAGCAAGCAAGGTTTAAGAGAGGAGGTAAATCACAGAAGAAGTGGTTGATCACATTTGAACTAAATGATGGGATCTCAAGGGCTAAGCACAAGTGCATCAGAGAACACAGTGATGCACACAGATAGCAGCCAGACACCATTACCATGCAGAGCTTTGGGGACATGATGACCATGTATAGTAGTGGGTTACAAATGGCCACAAAGCGATCATAGGCCATCACAGCCAGCAGGAAGACTTCAGTGACCACACATGTGCAAAACAGATAGAATTGGACCATACATGCCAGGAAAGATATGGTTTTGTCCTCATTGAAGATATTAGCCAGCATTTTAGGAACAATGGTGGAGGAGTAGCAGAAATCCACAAAGGACAGGTGGCTGAGAAAAAAGTACATGGGGGTGTGAAGTTGAGAGCTGACCTGAATTAGTGCAGTCATGCCCAGGTTGGCCAAGACAGTGACCCCATAAATGAGAAGAAACACCAAGGAAAGCACAACACTCAACTCAGGAACATCTGAAAATCCTAGCAGAATGAACTGTGCCACAGTGGTGCAGTTTCTCTCAACCATGTCTTCCATTTAAAAGTTTATGAAGATGAAAGCTATATTATTCTTGACTGTATGACTGAAAATGTAGTTTGACCTCTCTCCTAGAAAAAGTTCCTGGATACAGGGTCTTAGTAAATATCTGTAAAAAAGAAAAAATATTGAAGCTATATTAGCTTTGACTTAGCTCTTGATAATAAAATACTGAAAGTACATGGTTTAATTCAGCAAAATTAAATCTGTACATTTTACTTAATTGTAGTGTCTTATTTTTCATAATTGTAAACATACCTTAAATTAAAAAGAAACATTAATTATTACTTGTTAGTTAACTCATATCTGTAAAGTTAAAATTCCATTCACTCAGAAGTCTCATCAGCCAGTCTTCTAAATACTAGACCCCTGGGAAATGACTTCTAAGATTGGAGATAACATCTATTGTCTCCAATGATACTTACATGACTAATGTCATGAGGTATTTGCTCTCCTAAGCTCTTTTAAAATAGAAGATCTGGCTTATTCTTTATGTTGTCAATTACCTCTGTGTACCTTTTACACTGATTTGGTTAATTGGAGGATTCAATTTCAGCCATAGTTCAGATAATAATAAATATTCTAACGTGCTAACTTCTACTATTGATGGCTCTTCAGCTTTTTAATGAAAATCCTTTTAAAAACAAATATGTTGTGTTAAATATGGGAAAACAAATGAAAGATTCAGGCAGTATTATTAAGACACTTGATTCCTTATTATTGTGACTTGTTTAAGGTGTTAACATTTTATAAATCAAGTGGAAAATTAAGGGTTATATAGAAAAGTTTGCAATGGATTTGAAAAAAATCACTTAATTTGATAATGTGCATATTTGATCACAGAGTAGAATTAATATAAATGGAAGTTAAAAACTTGATGCATATAAAGCCAGCATTTTACACATAAATGTATGCTTGTTTTTGCTTTTGAGCATAAATAATTTTATTCATGTTTTAAGAAAGAACTTAGAATAATGACCAGATTCTAAAGCAAATTTACAGGCTATAGCTGTGAAAGAATATGGGATTACTTCAGAATTTGAAGTTCAAACATATAGAGAGTCCCATATTTGCCCACTAGCCCTGATCCTTGACAGAAACATCCTTGTGCCACCAATCAGGTGCTTGTGAAGGAAAGACTGCAGAGAAGACCACAAACAAGCTCTTCTCAATTTATCACCTGATTTAAAAGATTTTAGGACATATTCATTAATATGTGTCATTTTAGCACATGACTTTTTTTGCCTTGAAGGTGTTCATGTGTCAAATACACAAAAAAGTAAGTATTTTTTCTTTCTCTGAGTTAAAAAAAGATAATTTTGAAAATTCTTTACCATTGCCAAGTCTACTCATGATAAAGTGCCTTGCTGGTTGCCTCTGAAGCATTGCTTGCTAGCTAATAAGGAATGTGATGCAAGAGGGTATGCATCAGAACCCAAGGTCACTCTCTGAAGTCACAACTAAAAGGGTGTCTGGTTACACCTAACAGAAAGGGCTGCTGATTTCTTCATTATTCTTTAAATTTCACATTAAATACATTATACATATAAAGTATGATCTAGACTGAACTGTCCCTGAGCCTATAACTGTGAAAACTGCATAAGTGAGGCATATCACACATCTTATCTCAACACTGAAATGAACTCTCCCTCTTCTACTCCATACATGGTTCATATGTCTGTGTTCTTACATGAACACTACTAGGGTTATTTACTGCTACTTCTGGTGCTGGGCTGACTGTAAACACTGTCTCTATACAGCCTCTGCAAGTGGAATGGGTGAAGTTAGCATGAGTGAGAACAAAATAAATGACGACGAAGAAAACATCCACTTCAATTTGTTCACATTATCTCCCTCTTAGACCAGTAGCTGTATTATGCCTTTCTGCAGAATAAATTGATAGCATTTCCCTTACCAAGGAATTATCCCTTACCAAAGAAGGTGTATATTCTCTCACTTGCATTCACACAGCATGGTATCTACTAATGCACACTATAATAGCAAAGTACAAAACACAAAATAGCAAAGGTTTCAAGTTCTGGAGTTTTCCTTTCATCCCACCACTTTGCAGGCACAGACAGACAGAACTCTGCAAACTTCAGAACAGCCTGATCCATAATGTGTGTTCAGGACAGCCATGACTGTTACAGAGAGAATCTCTGTCTCAGACAAAACAACAAAAAGAAAAAAGTAAAGAATAAAATGAAAAAAGAAACCTTTCTCATATAATATTATAATATTATTATCTGGTGGAGAATAATTCACATTTTGAACTCTTAGAAACTATTATGTCACTATGTTCCACCTAATGGTAATCTGAGTGTGGATCCTTAAAGCCTGTTATCCTAAGTTTCTGAAAACAAGTACCAATCTCTGTGGAACATCGTTGTGACAGCAGGTAATTACTTCCTCTTGAGATTCAATTATTAGTATAATGAGATATAAAATGGGGAGATTAATTGGAATGATTCAGTATATCATAATATAATATAATTTACTTCAAATTTCTTGATGAACACTGTATGCTACTACTGAGCATTCCCTCTGTGTAATAGGCGAATAAGTGGCATAAGAGATGCTTGTCTCATTGCAACAGCCCCCTACACACACAATAAAGGGCAGGAAGTCACCACTGAGTTTCCCCAAAGAACATAGAGACAAGTAAATGAATATTACTGAGCCCCCCACCATCAAATAGTACACTTAGAATAGTTATTACCACAATCAAAGTTACCAACCTGAATGAGGACAGAATTTCTATGTCACCTTATAGATGAGGTGACTGAACTTGAGCAGATGAATCCTATCCTCAGCTAACAACATGATCTCAGTATTTGTCTTTTTAGTTTGTGAAAACAGATGGTAAAGGAAAAGCATGGCTGCTGAAGAGATTCTGGGAGGTCAGGACATGGGCACTTGTCTCGTCCCACATCTGATCTTTTCCTAAATGTACAAGGTTGCTTCCAAAGCTGCATTCAAAGCAGTCTGCACACCTATAGATGCATGAAAGTGTCCAAAAATTGTATGAGTGTAATTAGAATCAAAAGTTTCCAGTTTTCAACTGTCTATATATAATCGCCTAAAATTACTATGAAAATTTCTTAATTTTCCTTTATGCTCTGTATCATGATATGTCTTTTTTTATTCATTTAGCACTTCAGATTTTCTTTGTCCATTTATATCTGTTTAAACCACTTGACTAAGGAAATCATGAGTAAATGCTCAAAGCCAAATTACTTTAGATTTCCTCATGGAGCTTGACTTTTGACATTACATGAAGACAATTTTAATCTGTAGCTCTCTTCTTTCTCTTTCATGCTGTATGTTCATTTTATAGACAATAATCATATTTTATGCATATTTGTGTAGTAACATGTTGAAATCATATGTAATGTACTTCGACTTGTTTTTTAGTTGACATTAGGAGTAATATGAAAGTATTTATGCCTCTTGAAGACAGAACCCTACAACAGGAAAATGGAAAGAGCCCCTACGGAGTGTAGTCCTGGTACCTATGATGTATATCATCCTAGTAGATGCCTCACTAAAGAGGTTTTTTGCGTCTCCACTTAATTTAGACCTAAACATATGAGAAATACTATAGGACTTGTTTCATTGTTTTAAAAATAATTGGTATTTCTTTACAATCATTGTTCATAAACATCATATAAACCAGCTCTTTATTATATTTTGTTGTGGATTTTCTCTATGTTCGTGTATATTTTGGACCTGGTCTTCCCCCCTCTTTGTGATTTCTGTATTACTAATCCCTTATGTTTGTAAATTTTATAAATTGCCCATGAGTCTTAAACCATGTACTATGGTCTACACAACAAGGATTCCCTTCTTTTCAGCAATGTCCCACCTTTCACTCCTGTGTAGTGTGTATTCCATTCTCTTCATCTGATTCTAGCCCTACCTACTTAAGATTCCTTCATCTTGTTGCATAGCCTTATTTTTTCAGTGTCATGGAATGCAAGCTAATATATATGTACAAGTATAAATACAGAAATCAAGGACATGCATATGAGAGGGAAAAACTCAATTATTTATTGATGGCTCTGATGTATTTTACTAACATGATCCTCAGTTGTATCTGTCTTTCTACAAAGAACATAATTTGATTCTTTATGAAAGTGGAAAAAATCATTCTCTTTATTGCCACATGTCATGTATGTGGTCATAAGTTTGTTGTCATCTACACTGAATGTTGCCTTCGTTGAGAGCACTGCAGCAGTAAACATGCATGTTCAAGTGTCTATTTGGGTATCTTTCTAGACATGGTTGGGGGATATTGGGAGAAGTGAAGAGAGGGAAACGTACTGTCAGGATGCATTGTATGAGGGAAGTGTCTACATTTAAAATTTAAAAACGTTTGTTGAATCTATAGCATTTATGAATACTATTGAGAGGGGTTTTCTATTTTCTCTTTTTAAAATTAGGTTCTGTTGTGATTGGATTATTTTTCCTTTCCTCCTCCTACTATTTTGAGCTTCTGGACAATTTATCTGGTTTATGAGAGGTTTAAGATACTATGCTGATATGTATCCCATGCTTACTGTGGACTCATAACATAGAGCAGGCTGACTTCAAACATGTTCTGTTTGCCCAGATAACCCCAAAGCAAATACGAACATAAAATTTTCATATATCAGTATGAAAATGAGACTGTGAACCTCATCTATTTTGTGGTTCAGTGAGTTATTAGTGAGTATAAAGCAGGAAAACAACTTTATAGATTTTTAAAATAGAATATAGCCATTTTTAATACAAGTATGATAAAAGTAACCCTATATTGTTTCATTTCATTTTCTTAAAACAGTGATTAAACATGTATTCCTCGAAGAAAAGGCACAAAGGGCACAGAAAAGTAATAACATCACTCATCTCAATGAATTTACTGAGGTTACTTAGAGGACCAGGGCTGTGGAATGAACTCAAAGCTACTCATGTCACTGTATAGCTGTCTTGTACAAGAGGTAGTATCAGTG